TCTTCCGACTGTCACTTTGAAGGGCAACCAGCGCAAGCCGTAGGGCTTTGTGTGGTGCGAACGCTGGATCAGTAGAAACTGAGTTGAGACCCCGGGCTCAAGTGATAACGTCGGGATTTTGCCAGTGCTGGGCAAGGACCAGGCACCTCGTGGTAAAGGCCTGTCCCACAGACTGCAGCTCCCTGCTAGCATCTGACTGTCTAGACAGGCAGCGGGGTGACAAAACCCAGCCACTTTACAGAGGGTGCCCAGCACACTTCAGCGGGGTAATTAAAGCGGCTTGTCCGCACAGGAAAGTTAATCCCAATTGATGGAACGAGGGAGCTTAAAGTGGGATCATTAAAAGCCACATGAACTGTGACTATGGACACTCTTATTCACTATTCATACGTCCATAATTGATTTTATGAATTCATTCCCAGAATAAACTAAACTAAACATGAATTATGGCCCTGGAAACCAAAATAAATGTGTTTACACAAAGATTTAATGCGATTTAATGAAGCCATTATAAGAGCTTATTTAAACACATTTTCCCAAGTGCCTCAGACTAGACTAGCCTTTAGAAGAAGCCTTTGCCTTTTCATTCATCTCCGTTAAATTTCACAGACATTAGCTGCATTTCAGCAAGAGGTTTCTAACCTCTTCTGGAGATTGAATATGCAGGAACTGAATCCTTAAGGTAGGAGACTGCTTGTCGACAGTCCCAAGAACAGTTTCATGGCCCATTTCTTTTAGTTTAAAAAAAGTGGCTTCACAACATTTCTTTTTAGCCACATTATCACATCAAAGATTTCCTCCGCTTCAAAGAAAAGTCCCTCAGCTCTGCCCAAACCTCTTGGAAACCTCTCTGTAGGGGGGAAAAAAAAAAAAGACAGGTAGCAAGCTGATTAATCGCAAGCATCGAGGTAGGCTTAGGAACAGGCAATGAGGAGAAGTAGTCTACCTGGAAAGTGCGTCTCTTTATGACCGGAGGTGGAGCCAGCCGCACTGAATTGAGGAGAGGCAACAGCTGAAGAAGATCAAACCAGAAGGTCGTGGGGCAAAGGAGGCCGTTAGGGCACCGAGAGTCAGAGAGCAGCCAGGGGAGAGAACAGAGAAGAGGGGAACAGAGAGATTGCCGTGAAAATAAACCCCCGCGTGAGAGCCTCGTGCGGCACGGGTACCTGCGGGAGACCTCGGGGCTCCTCCGCGCCGGGCGCTGCTCACAGGGGGACCTGCCACGTGCCAGCCCTGGTGGGCGCAGGGTGACCGCTCACCCACCCCATGCTCCCACCGCACAGAGCTTTTACCTCTTTCTCTGCTCGGAAATGAAAACCGCCTGGGGGATTTTTGACTGCAAGGCATCCCCTTGCTGGCTCTGCTAAGCTCTCCGGTGACAGGACCGTTTCTTCTAATTTCTCATCGTCGGATTTGGGGTAACTATCAAAATGCCAATTTCCTCCGAGTTGTCCAAGTATGTTTTCCTACTTCTTCCCATCTTCCCTTACAAGAAACACGGTGCATCTCCGAGCCTCACCCTTCCTCAGGGTGTGGAAGGGAGCAGAGAGATGCTAACTGGGGCCAGCAGCAGTCGTCACGGCCAGCAAACAGGTCCTGGCGTGGCTCATTTAGCTGAGCAGACACAGCCATCATGACCAAGGGAGAAGATCAGGCCTTGGTGCCTCTGAGCCTTGAGCAGGGTATTGCCCTGGGAGCCCGTGCTTTGCTTTTCCTTGTTTAACAGTAACATCACTCTCTGACTGCTTATAGCCAGGAATGCTGCCTTAGGGCACAAAGCTGACCCGGACACGCAGAAATCAAATGCACTAAAGCTCAGGAGCATTTGTTCATCCTTCTGCTGTATCCAGTTTCCACTTGCATGCATGCTGCTGTCAGCCTGGCACCCACCGTGCCGGCTCCAGGCCCAGGAATGCTCCTCTGGCCTGATCCGCTTTCCTGTTCCTATCAGTTTTCCATTGAAGCTGCTCTTGATTTACAGAGGGAGAAGAGAAAGAGGCTTTCTGTGCCCAGGCACGAAAACGTGCCCCTGTGTGCAACATTTCCCAGTGTGAGCTGCGCACTCGGACCTGAGAGCTGCGCCCATAGGTCTCCCACCACAGTAACCGTATGCATCCAAGCAGCGCTCCTGAATCCCTTTAAACGCTGCTCTTCGTGTTCACAGTGAAAGCAAGGATCCAGTCCTGTTGCAAAGTGAAGTGGCAACCCAATATTGCAGCATTGCCGCCCTCTTATCAGGCGGCTGTGTCTGATGTGCTGATCCAGACAGCCGCCAGCGTTCGCGACAAAAGCGGTGCTGCTGGAAAATCAGCCAGGCTGATTTTATCTGAAGGAAATCCTTCTCTTTCTAAAAGACAGCGCAGGAGGCCCCATAGCTCAGGAGAGCGTTTGGGACTGTGCTGATCTTCCGAAAGGGGGTGTTGCTGTAAATCCCCACACCCCCTTGCTAGGTGTGCCGAGCACGTCTGTAGGAGTGACCCAGCCCCAGCTGAGCTGGCTTTGCCCGGCTCCTCAAGTGCTGAAGTGTATCTGAAATACCAGGCAGCTTCCAGAGAAGCAGAGGGAGGATGCTGGGAAGGATAAGGAGGAAAACTGAGAGAAGCAGTCCTGAAAACAGAGGCGAGACAAGACCCAGCAACAGATTCAAAGTGCAAGTGGGAAAGTTTAGAGAAGAAACCTGAAGCCTCTTCCACCCAGCTCCTGCCCTGCCTGCTCTGTGTCGCAATGGCAAGGTTTTTTTCAGAAGGCAGCGTGCAATATTGGATCCCTCGTGCCTTTGCACCAGAACTGGGTCCCATCAGACCATTACCCACAAACCTTTAGCGTAAGGATCTGGTTAGAGCGCAGGGCGGCAAGGGTGGTACTTAGGTATTCCTGGGGGACAGCGAAGACACATGACACAAAAGGGGTCAGTTAGGCACACGGTATTTCTGAAAACAGAGGGAGCACAGCTGGTCCCCCTCTTCCCTGAGCTGAGCGCCTGTCACCAAGGTGGCACTTCGGAGCAGCTCAAACAGCCAGCTCACACCAAAGGGGCAGCCCCACGCCTGGGCTTGTCCCTCACGGCAGCGCAGGCCATGCAGACTCATACAGAAAAAAAAAAAAGGAAACTACAACACAAGCCAAGGCATACATCCCAACCTTACATTTCCTTCCTAAGAAAACAAAGACGAAACAAAACTGAAACAACATCCCTGGTTTTTCAGGATGCTGGTTTTCATTTCCTCGCCCAGAATACCTGACAAAGGACCTTGTCAACCCGTAAAGCAACAACAAATTGCGACAGGGTCAAATGTGTAGCATTTTTACAAGGCTCATCCTAATTTTCCTTTTGGGAGGAAGAGAAGGAACAGCACCTCTGTTGGCTGACCTGCGCCTGTGACTAGACCCTTTGGGACAGCCCATCCTTGAGCTGACCTGAGGACAGTCACCCTTCCCATGAGCAGACCTCTGCCTTGGAACGACTCATGGGCTTTTTAAAACCTTGAGCTGGCTGCCTCATGAGACCAGAAGTACCTCCATGAGAGCCAAGGAAACGTCACCAGGCTTTGCTGGGATGTGAGGCTTTGTACCAGCCTTTTCCCCACTGTGTGTCACCCCATGGTGCCTACAACCCTGACCCACCAAACCAGTGCACCTTTGCCCCCCCGGTCTGAGCCCAGGTCATCCCAGTGACGATGCACAATCTGCACCTCCGTTTCCCAGTGTTGCTGCAGGGTCCTGCCGCCGCTTTTCACCTTGAGCACTGAGGACAGCCGGAGCCAAGGGCTGTAACGTGAACCCAGGACACCTCTCGGGTGAACATTGTTGTTAGCTTCTTTTTAACATAACAACCTAGTGAGCCAGCTTGCCTAAATAAACACAGCTGACCAGCTATTATTGTACGGGTACTGGCACATAGCGACGGCCCCCTTCTCCCTTCTCCACCAGCCGAGCTCTCTCCCCTGCCTCTGCCGCACAGAGCATCCAGGGCCCTGCTCCCTCAGGGCCAGGGACCAGAGCCCAGCTAATTGTCCGGAGGCCGGTCAAAAATAAACAGAAAGCCCTTAAGCTTGTCTCCCTGTACACCCAGATTACAAATTCCAGCCACTTCATATGATGTCGTTCCAATGCATTTCCAGTGGATTTTCAGCACTCCGGTTGTTTTCAGAGCTGCTTAAATTTTACCGCTGTAATCCCCTCAAACCCCATGATGTACTCTCGCCTCTCTTGGCTGTGGTACATGCCAGGCAGGCCAGGACAGAGAGGCAAGTGGGGCAACAGCCTGGCTGTCGTTAAATGGTTGCTGGCATCAACCTTCCCTCTCCGCCTCTTCTTTGCAGGCAGAAAGCCCACCAGCCCTGGGGGGCCAGCGTGGGGACGAGCTCACCAGGGACCAGGCAGAACACCATGGCCAGAGGCGGTCAGGGTTACTTTTGGACAGGGAGCACAACCCCTTCCCCTTGTCTCTATGCAGGGTTGAGGCCAGCATGACGGAGAAGAAAAAGGGAGGAATGAGGATAGAGTCTCCACGAAGTCTTGCAAACCCCACACTGCTCCTGGCCACGCAACCGCAGCGGAGTCTGTGGAAGCAGAACAGAGCTGGTGCAGCAGCACGAGATGTGAGTGGGTAACCTCTGCCAGAAACCCCAGGTTTTGTGGGGTTTGGGGGTGAGGACACGGACCTTCCCCGCTCCAGCCCAGAGCACGGGAGGACCTCCAGGAAGCGGCAATGACAACAGCATTTAGCTGGGGGTCAGCCCCGGTGGGCAGTACAGACCAGAGAACCAGCATCCCTCCTGGAAAACCTTATCTGCTGCTTTTCTGAGAAACACATCAATCAGCCGAGCGCTGCCCTCGGGGCCCCGATGACGCGTCTTGTTAATGAAACGATCTATATTTCCAACAAAAAGCCATTCAAACCAAGGAGGATTAACATGCAGGAAGGCACGGGACAGACGATAATAACGCTAATGACTTACCCTGTGCGGGTACTCTGCACACTGACCCTGTGAAAGAAGGGGATTAAAAAGGAAGAGTTTAAACCTCATACAGAGAGGACCAAAATAGACACACGGGGTCAGATCCAGAAGGTGTAAATCATTCTGACTATACTGAATTTGTTGCAGCTATGCCAATTTGCACCCGACGAGCACCCTGGCCCTGGCCCCGTCTCCCCAGAGCCCTCTGTTCTTGCTGCATTTCTCAGCCACTCAGAGTCAGAACGAGTAGCACCAAGCCTCCCATTAAAATTACCTTTTCTCCTTTTTGAGCCACTCGGAGTCAGAACGAGCAGCACCAAGCCCATCGAGTCCCTTTCCCTGCTCACTTTTTACATTTTATTTTCAACACGCCTCCCATTAAAATTACCTTTTCTCCTTTTTGTCCTGGGGGTCCCTATAAAAGCGATAAAAAAAAGCCCTCAGTAAATGAAGGAGTTCAGTGCATGCAAGGGGGAAGGGATTAGGAGGAGGCGGGATTGCAAGAGGTGGGATACTTACGGGTTGTCCCCTGGGACCTGCAGCACCCTTTAAAGAAACACATTGTCATGAATGCGAGACGGATTCCCGTTTACAGTGACAAGAAGACAAAAGCTCTCAGCGTATGCAGTAGGTAGAAACTCAGCTTTTAAAAACAATTGCGGAGAAAAGTTCCTAAGAGAGATCTGGGTTCCCTTTGCTACTCGGGAGGAGTGAAAATGCACACATGCTCTGGCTGCACTGCGGGAGGCAATTACTAAAAGCAGAGGGGAGAAATCATCAGGAAAATATACCCTTAGTGTTCCCAGGACCTCAGCTGGCAGCACGTCTCCTCAGCCAACACGCTGGGATCGAACCAGCAGCAGCCAGGGCTGAAGCCTGAGCTGCAAGTGCCTGAGCTAGGGTTGTGCAACAGGGGGATGCCGGCTCACCCCTCCGCCGAGGAGCGGGAAGGGGGATCTTCAACATGTGCTTGCCAGAGGGTTACACTGACACTCAGGCTCAAAAAACAGCATTAGCAGAAGAAAACGTTCAGCATTTCAGTGAGCGAAGGTGACTACAGAGCTGCTAGCTTGGCATAATCGTGTTTGGGGATTTCATCATCAGGGGAACAAGACCACATTTGGGTTTCCATCAAGTGTGGCCTAAGTTTATCGTTTTCAACCAAAGCATTTCAGTACGATGCACATATGAAACAGAGCTTCAAGAGGGGAACGAAAGATATTTAATATACAAAATATGCTTTTTTTGTCAGATAAGTTGAAAGCTGCCAGATGGGTTTTCAGAAAACTTTCCATCAACTTTTACTTCTGCTATGAGGCCAACCACGAAAAATGTCAGCTCCCAGAGTATAATTAAAGAACGTAATTGCTAACTGCAAGGAAAACAGATCCCATGCATAACTAGACAGTTGCTGTTGTGACATGATGAATCTGATAGCCATAATGTAAAAATTACAGACGTGCATCCCAGCACTGCTATTACGAAGTTATGGAATTAGGGACACAGCTAGTGCATTAGCTGAACTAGGACTGCTACCCCGCCTGTGAGCTCATTTCCAGCTGAGAGGCAACATAATTTCAACCCAACCCGTCAGACAAACATTTTTTTTTTTTTTTACCATCTCCCCCTTCTGTCCAGGATGACCCTGCAAAAGAAAGAAAACATCCCTCAGCTTCAGCCACCTCAGTCTCTAGAAGATGTTGGCTTAACCCACTTTTACTCCTCGCCTCGAGAGGTGCCCGCAGTCGCTGTACTTTGTCGAGGGAGGTGCAATGCCACACACCCGGAGCTTCACTCGCACATCTAAAAGAGCTCTCCGCTACCCAAAATGCTGAGAACAAAGCTCTGGAGGATGAATATGGGGTGCAAAGGCTCTGCAGGGCATGGCTGGGACATGGTTAAGCCCCTCTCAGGCTGGCTGAGCAGCTACAGGGGAGTGCAGCATGCTGCGCCTCGCTGGGGCTCACATGTGTGTCCCCAGAGCGGTGTAAGAGCGATGCTGCTGGCCTTGGCAGGGTGATGCTCCTCATAGCAAAAACAGGGTCCTGCTGTAGGAAATCAGGTGCCAGAGGTATGTGCTACCAGCTCCTTCTCCATTACAGCACGGCTAGAGGAAGCGTGGTGGGGAACTTGGCTAAGGGGCTGCCTGGAGCTATGGGTTTCATGTCAGTTGGGTTCACAGGGAAGTAGCTATATTTGTGCCTGAGCTCTCTGAAGGATGGGAAGAACTTAGGTCTCTCTCTCTGCTACAAAGCTGTGTGTATATATTTAGAGAGAGAGAGAGGAGGCTCTAAGGACAGCATGGAGTTCTTTAGGGTCCTTTCCTTTTCTACTGCAATTCTGCAGCACAGGAGCAAAGGGGAAGAAGCTGCAGGGTCGACTTCAGATGAGGCTGGCTGCTGTCTCAGGCAGAGGGCTGGTGCCTAGGGGCCTGCTCTGTCTGTCTGTCTGATTCGGGGGGGAGCGCCTGCTTTCCCTGCCGCAGCCAGGCCGCTGCACTCGTGAAGTGCTATTTTACAGATTTGCCGAGAAAGGAAGCGGCCACACTCCGCCTTCCCTAATCTCCTGACTCCTGCATCTCCCCCGAGGCATCTGTGGTATCCTCCTGCCTGCCAACCTTCTAATTTTCGTCTAATCCATGCATGTGCATGACATTGCAAAATAATCCTCTTAAAAACATACTCTATAACAGGCAGCCTGGCAGGACGGCGGGACCTAGCAGGAGGCAGGCCAGAAAGCCTTGAGAAAAGCTGTTTGCTTACCGGTTTGCCATCCAAGCCAATAGGGCCCTGAAATAAAAAAGGAGAAATGATGAGAAATGCTTTCACCGGGGTGTCTGTCCGCCTGCCCCAGCAAGCACTACGTGGCGCAAGATTGCATGGGCTGGGGGAAGGGGGGAAGAGGGGGAAAACCTTTTTAGTAGGGCCAGCTGCATTAGGACAAGGGGTAATGGTTTTAAACTAAGTCGGGGTAGGTTTAGGCTAGATATAAGGAAAAAATTCTTTACAATGAGGGTGGCAGCTCCCTGGCCCACTGGGTACCAGACCAGTTTCCCAATTGCTTCTGCAGGGACCTGCTCGCTGTCGGCCCATTTCTGCAGCAACACTGGACACGAGAGGGGAAGGGAAGGGAAGGGAAGGGAAGAGGGATTCATGGGCAATTTGCAAAAAACCCTCAGCATTTCAAATTTTGCAGTGTCCCGTAAACGAGTTGAAAATGAGCAGTTTTCTCGAGACCTTGATTTAGAAAGGCACCCACCTTTGGGGGAAGAGGAATTTTTGCAAATGATAGAATAATAAAAGTGTCCCAGGGAAGAGGTGACATACAGCTCGGCAGCACGTTGAAGGTACTATTTGATGAGAAACAGGCTCTGCAGAGCACTGTCCCACCCGGCACTTTCTCATGAGCTGGGCTGATTTGTTTTCTGCTCCTCTGAAAGCCAAAGACCTCAAAGGCCTAGAGAGATCTGCTTCTCCTCAGCCCGGGGGTAGCTCACAGCCCCCCTTTTCACGAAGGGCAGAGCCACGGAGCCTGGTCAGATGGCTCGCAGGCTGCCAATTCCTCCCGTTTCCCAAGCATGAGAGTCTTCCCCCGCAGACCTGCTCTGGCACACGGCGTGTCCTGCAGCAGCAGCTGAGCTGCCTGGCGGGAGCAGGGATGCGGGGGGTGTTTGTCTTTGCCTTAGGCTTCCTAGCTGTCCAGGATAAATGCATAAGAATAAATAGCAACCGTTCTGAGTTCCCCAGCAGCCTCAACGCTTCAGAGAGCGTTGCCAGCAACTGTAGGACTGAAATGAAATTTGCTTTGTCCTCTCCTGGGCTTGTTTTCTGTTCCCTTGTCCATCTGTAACAGCGTTGGAGAAGAATCACCCCCTCGTGCTTTTTGTCCTTTCCCTTTGGCATGACCAGGGTGTTCAGCCTAGCATGGGCCCCAGCTGACCTGCATCACGCAGGGCCCCGTTTGGATCACAAACGCTCGCTGCTATCGCAATATCACCTAAAGGCTCAATTAAGGCTGGAATTTCACCTACCTAAGGGTTATTTTCTTTGTTTGGGGGTATTTCTTAGGATGGTTTTCTTTTACTGAACAGATCTGGCTTCAACTATGTTATTTTAACACTTGGGGTTTTTTAAATTAATTTCCTTTCGGAGTTGTGTGGTTTGTTTTTTTTTCCCCAAGTATCATTTAAAAGTAAAAAAAAAAAAGAGAGAAGAAAAACAAATGAAGAAAAAATTACTTTTTCCAGTGATACCAGGTCAGGTCCTTGGTTTCAGACAGAAATGATGAGATACAGCGAGCACTAATGACACTTCCTAGTAATATTGCACATCCGTAGCTCATAAATTAGCAGTTACACTTACCGGGAATCCAGGAAAACCTCTTGTTCCAGGCTGTCCCTGGGAAGGATGAAACGGAGACAGCAGTTTAGAGGAACCAAAGTGGATTTTGACTGACCCTAAGTCCTCTCTACGGAGCCTTTCTTCCAGCCTCTGCCCATTTATCCTACAGCTCTCTGAAGAGTTACCCAAGACCCAATTCCCCTCCAAGGGGAAAGCGTCTTGGGAAGGAGGGGAAATCTCTCATCCCCACTCCAATTTGTACAGGGCCAAGAAAATCCTGGAGCAGGTCCAGTTTGGACTGTAAGCAGTTTCCTTGAAGTTTCTACATTAATTAAATGGGTGTCCCTAGCCCATACACTAGGCTTTTGGAGTATATTCCAGAGGCTGAGCTCATTTTATGGCAATTCTTGCTGCCATAAACTGGAGGCGTTTAATGCAGGGTGCTGCTCTGTGCAAGACAAACCTTGCAGGTCACTGGTGTCTAAACACAGCCATCCCTTTTCTCCTCCTCTCCTAATCTCATGTCCCAGTGCATTCATTTTCCTCACAAATAATTCTGGAGAAGAGATGATTTTTTTTTCCCCCCTTTTCTGTTTTTTTCCTCTGAGAGCTAAGAGAAAAAGGAGAGTTAGGTAGTATGATGAGAGGAACATGAGCATCGAGTCCTTTCCTCCGCCTCTTTCTGTCTAGCCTGCGTTGGCTACCAGTTTGGGATCAGGTACAGCAAACACTGGCTTGGGATGTGTTTGGCAGCTTCTTCATCACACACTTAGAAACACTGAAAAATGTTAATTTTTTATAGTTCTTCAGTTTCTGGGACCTGTGACATCCCAGGTCATAGTTACCCTAGATTTGTGGGTATCCAGAAAAGATACTACTTTACTTAAGGATTTCTTAATCTCAATTTTCCGAAAAATGTGTGAGCCAAGTCAGGAAGCAATATGGACCAGACTTCAGCAGATCTGGAAGCACACCCATGTGGATGGAAACAGCAGGATGAGGTAAATCCTGTACCACGCTCATGGAGCGACCGCTGTGGCATCTTGCCTTCCCTGAAAGCTGTGCTACGATGCCAAAAAGCCCAGGTTTCTTCTGTGTTCTCATGCTTCGTTTTGGGGAAGAAAATGCTTTCCTAGGCAATTTGAGATACCATGACTGGACTCTTTGAGTCCCATGAGGGTCTCCTAGGAAAGAGCTGGGTATAAACAAGGGTTCTCTTCTGAAAAGAAATGCACATGGATGCATCTCTGCCTTAACCAGAGCCATGTGGTGCCAAGGGAAGGGGAAGGAGAGGATGGGCGTGCTGGGCTGCAAGGCTGAGGTTCGCCACAATGCAGCAATGCTAATCCCTTGGGAGAGAGGTCAGAGACATGGCAGGGAAAACCTTCACCTTCAGGTTACATCTCCTCCAGCCTCCCTCTACCTGCAGAGAGACTCAGTGAAGATCCCTCCCTTCAGACTTGGGGCCAAATAACCTCTTCACAGAGTTTGAGGCATGCCCCTACCACAAAATGCCTTGCGTTGTGCTGAACAGTTGTGGTTTTATACACAATGCTATCAGGATCTAATCCCATTTGTACTGTTTTTTTAGTTCTGCAAAGTTGAACTTGGTCAGCTTTTCTTTGCAAGATACATATAAAACCACCTGGTCCTGTTGGCCAGTGACCAGGAGGGAAGATACGCTATAAATTAAAGGATCTGTCCACTGCTAGTTTCTGAAAAGGCAAGAATCAAGAAGAGCCTAGCCACAATTCATTAATTTTGGTTCCCTGCTGGACACCTCTCTGGACAAGAAGTGCTAAAAAAAGAATTAGGGAGAAAACCTGGAAATTGTGCATTTTGGCTTCCTTTGTAGACTAGAGACTGCTGCCTCTTTCTCCTTGGAGGACGGCAGAGTGATTTGCACGGTATCAGGCCAAAACAACAGTTCAGCAGCGAGCAATTCCAAGAGACTGTTTTTGTTGGGTGACTGTTTTTCCTTGTCTTCTTTTTAAAATGTTGATTGTATGAAGTATGTAATCCCAGGAGCTGCCAAATCATGGAGACCGTCTGTTTCTGCCACTATCGGCGCACTGTCCCTCTCTGGCCAGAAGTTAAGCAGTTCTGAGCTCTAGCGAAAACTTTAACCTCCAAACAAAAATCTGGAAACTATTTGTCATCCCACGTCTTTCCGAGTGGCCCCTTGGCCGGGGTTTCCGTGTTTGTCTTCAGTGCTCAGCCATCCTTTTGACCTATCACCAGCTCCCCGGGAAACTGGATCATCTTCACAGTAGGCTTTGGGGGTGGAAGTGTGGAGTTGTGCCAGCCCTGGCACCTCGGGGCTTTGACTGGGGTGGGCAAAAGCCCATTTTAAATATCGTTTGCCATCTAAGCTTTCTGCTGCTTTGGAGATGCAACATGTTCTGCACTTTCCCAAGCAGCAGCAAAGGCAATGAGGCAAAGCAGCAGCACCAAAGCAGACATTAAAAATTCTCCTGCAGACCAGGCATGTGACCTTCAAGAAAACAGTGGTGCCTGTCTCTGCCTGCAGGACCTACAGGGACAGGGACTGGCAGCTTTTCTCTCCAATTACTATAACCACACTATGCAGAAGGCTGAGAGCTACAGCTTGTGAGAAACAGCAAAAGCAATGGGGCATTTACCCTCCAAAACCTGCTGCTTGTGGAGCAGGGCGGTCTCGCCCAGAGCTTGGCATTGAGAAACCTGCCAGCCCTTCCTCCTCGCCTGGCCACGTGGCCAGGGGCCGTCTGCTGGGTATAAAACACTTGGGTTGACCTGTTTGTATCCTGGGTTTCGGTCCTGTCGCTTCTCAAACTCCAGCATATCGGGCAGGTGGGCCTGGGAACCAACAAAGCTGTTTCTTATTAGAAACACTTATCATGGGGCTTTTGGAAAGTTAATTGGAAAGCCAGATGTAGCCAAGTGTTCGCACTGCCTAGGTCTCTCTCACTTGACCTCCACTGTGAAACAAAAGTTGCCGGCGGCCCATCCTCTCTGCAGGTCAAGGACGGTGCTCTTCACAGGTTAATCAGAATCGGAAGTGCCCACTGGGAGGAAGAAAATTGAGTCTCCAGGTCTTTTTTCATGGAAATGTCTGGTGGAGGCTGGGCAGGGATAGAGTGGGGAG